CTGAACTAGGAGTATCCCTTACCTGAACTAGGAGTATCCCTTACCTGAACTAGGAGTATCTCTTTTACTTGAACCTAACAATGAAGGTAGTGATGAGTCAAAAGAACCATACCTGACAGCCAATCAGGAGCTGCTGAACAAGTTCTGCCTTCTGAAATTGAGCGATGTTAAACTTATAGTGAGGATGACTAGCATGGACGAGAATCTCAAGAGTGGAGAGAAGCATCTYTAGCACGCCCTGCTTCGCTTTGTCCCAGATATTTCTGTTCAGGAGGTAGTGTTGGAAGATGTCTACATTACGTACAACAGCATTGGAATCGATGTTTAACATGATTGGGTTATCGGACAGATTGGTGTGCTTGAAGACCTCACCATCACAGGCTGCTTCCATTAGAACCTGATACAAGATACAAATATAAGTTTATAAAATATTGATTATTAAGTTTCAGGAAAATTGCTTTGGTGGGCTACCTGTGGTAGATCCATTCAACTGAGCAACTGCTACCCACGGGTTATGACTGGCCAATAAACCCAGGAGAAAATGAAATGATCTTTTGGCATTGGATGCTAACAAGCCTACCTTTAGCACGTGGTATCCTATCATGCACTGCGGGCTGAGTAGAATTCTCTTGAGTAGAGCATAGCCTGATTCTTCATCCATTGCGCGTGCGTGGTACTCACAGGTCTTCTGTAGTGACAGCACGATTGATAGAGCATCGGCTTGAGTCTTGTGATCATTAGTCATCTCTACAACCTGGACAGAAAGAAGCGATAAGGTAGGCAGGTAGAGGACAACAGACAGTCAGTCAGTCAGACAGTCAGTCAGTCAGACAGTCAGTCAGTCAGACAGTCAGACAGACAGACAGACAGACGGACGGACGGACGGATGGATGGACAGACGGACGGACGGACAACATACAAATCCATATTTGAAATATTTCATAAGTTAGGTTAGGGAGATTTAACTTTACGCAAATTAGAAACAAAATATAAAATACCCCATGAAGAACCATGCCGTGATTAACGCTGTAGAAATCCGCTGGATGCTTTAAGTCCTACTGTGTTATTCCGGCATAATAAAATAACACACACCTTAGCAAACAAATAGATGAACACCATCATCCCACCAACATCATGTGCCGCTTCAAGAAACGTACTGACCCTCAGAGCCTCGACTTCAAGAAACAGCTTGGCCTCGTTCTGAACAAGGTTTGTTTTAACTGTAGGTTTGTTGGTAACATCAAGATGACTGGCCCTTCGAGGTTTGTCATCTGTGGTTGGTATCCTGATGTTTTGATTGAATACTGTATGACGTACTGGTGTGTAGGACAGCAACAGTTTGCTCTACAAAGAAAAAACATATAAGTAGCACGTGGGTATTTTGTCTGCGCTTGCGTACGGGAAAAACCTAATGCTTACTTATATAAGTATAATCTCATTTAGTACGACCTTAGGTTGAAAACGCACAGTGCAATATATGAAACAAGGATTCCTTAGTGTGGGATCCAAAGCGTTTTTWAAAAAATCTATTTTCTGATATTGATATAGTATGCGGACCCTAACCCTTTGAAAGCTCCTGGACCACCCTAGTTGTCCAATGACGGGTCGAGCGTGATTGGATAGAAAGTAGTGTTAGTTCGGTTTCTGATTGGTTCGCAGAGAAAACCATTTGAGAGTCCTCGAACAGTGTTTCCCCTCTCATAGGACAGAGCCGTGCATTATGAGGTTTCAAGTCTTTGTCTGACAAAAAAAACGTACAGTACAGATGGGCGCACACCTGTATGAAAAGCCGTATCTCACGCTGCTATTGTGTGGTACAGTTACCTTTAAAGACGTCTCCAAATCTGGAATAAACACGTGAGGACTTCTCAGAAATCCAGTACTCAGCCCGGCCGAGACTGACCTCTCAGTTATTGAGAGTCTAGACCATAGTCTGCTTGCAACTAGAAATGGTTGAGAAGAACTGAGGAAAGACAAAACATGACAAAGGCTAAGGCAATGTTCTGCGTAATATCTTCAGTACAACCCTATTAATAAGTAACAAAACAGTCACGTACTCTTGGTGATCTTTAGGAACATAAGAAAAGTCAGCGTGCAGATGTCCGATGCTGTTGTAGTTTGGACCAAGTGAGTACAGGTAGAATGCTTCATCTTTACCAACAACCCAGTCTCCATGTGTGGCCACTCCCTTCTTAACACTTTTAATACTTGTCCCTCCTGGAATAACAAATAATCTCTTGTCGCTAAGGATTTCTACTACTCCATAAACTCATAATTACTAACGGCTACTGGTTGGGACTGCATTGATGTGTTGAATACGACAAGTGAATAAGAATGACTAGTGGTTACTAGTTGGGACTGTGTTGATGTGTTGAATACAACAAGTGAATAAGAATGACTAGTGGTTACTAGTTGGGACTGTGTTGATGTGTTGAATACAACAAGTGAATAAGAATGACTAGTGGTTGCTAGTTGGGACTGTGTTGGTGTGTTGAATACAACAAGTGAATAAGAATGACTAGTGGTTACAAGTTGGGGCTGTTTTGGTGTGTTGAACACAACAAGTGAATATGAAAGAAACTTAAACCCTGTGTAAGACGCGAAAAGCAAGATTGAAAACAGGAAAAAGAACCAGTTAACTGAGGAAACAGTAGAGTTTTTTTTAATCTAAAAAATAAAAACGCAAAAAAAAAAACAAAAAAAAAAGGAGCAAACTTAAGTCTCAGGTCACTCATCCAGGTACTAGCCCTCCTAAGACGGGATTGACTCACTATCTTGAATGTCCAGGTTTTTTCCACTGGGCCACAGTTTTACAAAATTAGCAATTTTCACCCGATTCCGTGCGTGGCAAGTTGTGCAAGGGATTAACCRATATGGTCTGGGGGTTGGCTGGTCTCTCCCCTGATGCTTCGGCTAGAACATTATCCTGCGTAATTCGTGCACCCAAGGGCAGAATGATTTAATCGCCGTCAGGTCCGAAGTCCATACGCCGCCCCAGCTCTGCCGATGTCTCGGGGGTATGGCACAGCGGAATCGAGGTTTATTTTTGGAATTAACTARATAAATATGGGTTCGAATCCCATCGTGTACAGATAAGATTAATTTTTTTTAAATTTTACCTTTAATTTATTTTGTCATTGGATTCGAACTATCAACTCTCTCGGTAAATAATATTCGAACTCTTATAACTAAGAAATCTCGATCCGGAAAATAGAGTTATTCTTTCCTGATTTCCAGTCTGTTTCAAGTGTCAACACTCACCTATAAAAGCAAGTACATTGCCCAAGTCATATCCTTCAGGTAAAACAGACTTTTCGGCACCATGTCCCTCTTTTTTTGCTGTACTTAGTATCACGTGACCCAACAAACATGCTGACAAGGTACACTTGCCCTCTTCGTACCAGGGGAGGGGTGGGCCAAAATTATGTTCTGTGGTTTCAGTACCGTCCACTATCGACAGAATCTACAAAACAATTGCAATCATTTACATGGTCATTCAAGGGAATTCAGGAAAGATCTGTGAAGTTGCATAATCCATGGTGTGGGCTCCCTGTGGACTTACCTTACAAGCATCATCGTATTCCTTCGTCTCCATACCACCATTAGGAGGAATGTACCTCTGTTTAGACTGAGAGAACGAAACAACCACGTGATGCCATCGACCACGTGATAGACCAGGTATTCTAGTAACTAATTCTTTGACGATATCGTAACCATCAGTACCCCCCTTAGTTGCTTTTGTCCACCTGCAACAAATGTTTCAATATGCATTTGATCTATAATATATGGGTTAGAGGCTTGTCATCGTCACGTGACATGGTCACGTGATATATGGGGTAGAGGCTTGTCATGGTCACGTGACATGGTCACGTGACATGGTCTCGTGACAGCAGTCATACCTGAACAACAGAGAACCACCTGATGGTAGAACCCAGATCTCGAAGAGACCCTTCCTGGAACCAATAGAACAGATATGTATAGCTTCATCACAGGAAGGTGTGTCTGTACCCCGCGTCCACACGTTAGGACAGCTCATCGACCTACTGGACCGAGTACCACGAACCGGTGGAATAGTCACCCCTCGTAATCGAGTAGCTTCTCTTGACATTCCTGGTTCACTCTCAGAAAATCTTCTCAAACTATGCAAGCGCATCCAAAACACGATGCTAAAATCGGGCGGCGGCCATGTTTGGTTTCCATGACAACGAAGATTAATAGCTTTGACTGAGAAAGGTGACGGCAGGTCAGCGGTGTCATCACCAGGAYTTGCTTCGGACCTTTGAATATCCTGCCTGTCGCTTGTTTCCACAGAGCCCCCACGTGCGAGTTTTGACTGGGGTTTGGAGCGTCGTGCTCGTTCAGGGCTATTCTTGCCGATTCTAGAAAGTGAACCTTCGGAGTTGGCACCTTCACTTGATGCATCTCCTAGACTTTGAAGCAGGGCGCCTCCTTTGATTCTTTCAAAATATAAGAATAATGAATTCAATAAGTGAATATGTGTTGTTCTCTCCTTTGCCACGAGGGTTTTTCTCCAGGTTCTCTGGTTTTCCTCCCTCCATAAACATTAACATGTGAGTTGAGCGTTGTGTGCATAAAATAGTAAATGTAGTGATAGTGAGTGTGAGTGAAAGCAGGCCTACATCAGCGAAAGCTGACAGAACAAACAGCCTGCGCTAACAAATAAAATAATATTATTTTACATGCGAAAACTTTATGATGAGAGACGTCCTAACGCAGTCTTATCATGAATACCTTTTTATATCTGGTCTTAGTCTTTGAACTTTAGCTTTTCGACCTCCGTGCTTCGACCGCGGGTCCACAGTTTGTAAGCGACATGGAAAAGAGAGTATGTAGGCCGGTCCATGGGTAAACGAAGCTTTGCTGGCGATGTGTGCCAAGCTGTTGCATAGCAAGTCCTTCAAAACAGTCAGGGGAAAAAAAGTAGGGAACGATTAAAGATGGCATGATGAATGTTGTGAATATAAGTCATATCATCTGATATATAACAAAGTCGAGGGTGTCTGTTGTTCGCTCTTATCCAATCAACTGCGAGATATCGAGTAAATACGWGACAATGCCTGGACCAAGCCCTAACCAAGAACAATGTACCCCCGTGCCTCAACATGTCTGACTACTCAATGGAATATTCTACGTATTTACCACTGGTACTGGTTTGGTCTTAAAGATGGCGATGAAATCCTTTAGTTCAGACGCTCTGATCTGGTGGTTGGCAAGATGAACAAACAAATCGAGTACAATTGACTGGAGATCTGCAGGAATAGAAATAATGCAGCTGATTAACTGAGCGTTGATTTGAAATCTGGTGTCATTAGTGCAGGGAATGATACCTCGAAGACTTGTATCATTGCTCCTGAGAACATCTTGATAGCACATCAGGATACTACTTAGTAACCCCTGTATGAACAAAAATACAAAGGTAGTTTAGGTTCATAGTTTTTGTGACTTTGACCGACTGCAAACCACGTGTCTGTAAGGGTGGTGACCGCTGTGTTCCTTGATTACAGACTCATTTACTCAGGGTTGCCTCATTTCGTTGCCTCATTTCATTGACAAATAGCAACGGCAAAGTAAAGAATGCACAACTTCAATAACACAAACAGTTTGTAATTCCACGGACTTTAACTGGAACACATGAATACTCTAAACAAAATATAGGCTAATGATGAGCAACAAAGTTCTCGAACCTAGAGATCTCGAATTATAATTCCATCTATCGGTAGCCTTATCAAGTGGGTTGCTTTCCGTCCACCATGGRGGTCTATTACATTACCTCTTGACACAGTACTCTACAGTTGTGTTCATTGTCTTTAACGAGGCCAAGAAGACACTGGACGGCATGTGTGAGGACTGATAATGACTTGCTGGAGAGTAAAAGATTGACAAGGTTATCGCCACTATATGTCTTATACTTACCATATATATATATATATATATATATATATAAATTCTCAA